CGCGATTGCACAACATGCCGGAGAGGTATCTTGAAAAAACCTAAGGGGGAAGGGGAGGGGGTGGTGCAACAGCTCCCGAGCAGGGGAGGGTGAACAGTCTAAACAACTTCGATGACTTCATTTACTGAGGAGCCTGCACTGTGAGCTGCTCACGACTGGCCCTGTTTATACGGTATCTTGATCTTGCATGCAGATAGAGATCGTTAGAGGTGGTGGCAGGTCAAGACATTTTCCTCGACAGTTCAACATCTTTATCATTTTCGCAAACCTTGAGCTCATATCTAGAAATTAGGGTTGTGGTGGGGAAGCATCATAGCACTTCAATATGTCAGCGCGGCTTGATGTGCTATCATCGCACTCAATTTAGTCCGGTCTCGTCGTCGCTGATGTCGCAGTCGCTGATGCTAAAGGCTGTCAGGCCACGGCGGATTGCAACTCGACCGGTGCACACTTCGAGCCCTATCCAAACCACATCCTTAATCCATTGCCGTGTTCTGAGGTTGACCGTTATAAATGCACCGACCGCTGCATCCAGGCGCCACCCGCCCCCGGTGCTGGGCCGCACCCGACCGCCGCAGCCAGGCTGCAGCCGGCGGCAGAACCCGACAGACTGTGTCCTGCCGTCGTTGTCTAGCAGTGTCCGACCGCCGCAGCCAGGCTGCAGCCGGCGGCGGAAGCCGTCAGACTGTGTCCTGCCGTCGCTGTCTAGCAGTGCCCGCCCGCCGCGGCCGTGTCGTGCCCGGACTGCTTGTGACCGGAGAGGCAGCCGGCGGCCGGGGCTGTGCCGTATTTGGCCGGGTGTCGTCCGGCCGGCGGCCCGCAAGGCCTTATATGGCAACCTACCGGCGGAGACCATTAGGAGGGCTCCCTCACCACTCCCTCACCGCTGCGCGCGGGGAAGGTTGCCACACAGAGGTAGCGAGGAACGGCACCCCCGCGGGGCAGACGCAGACCGTGCGTGAGCTGCTGCCACCGGAGGCCGCCGGTTTTTCTGGCCGGCTCCTGTCAGGGCTCGGAAAACCGCCAGACAAGCGGAAACGTTCCAATGAAACGCGAGACGGTCGCAGGCACAGCCGTGCCTTCCTGTGGTAACAGGCGTAGCTGGCGTTCATGTCCTGAGACGCGATGCGGAGCAAAGGAAGCTGAGTGGCCCGACGACAGCGGTGGTTCGGTGTTCTGTCACTTTTCGCGACAGCGGCGGTGAGGAGCTTCGGCCAGGGCTGATAAGCTCGATGCCCTTCGGTCGTCCCGGCCGGCCCCGTTCGCCATCCGGACTCCCGACCACGTTGCAGTTTGCGCCGGCCCGATGTCGAGCTGATTTCGCTGACGTCACCCGTCATTTTTGTTTGCGTTGCTGATAGCGCGGGAAGCTCGTGCAAAACCCATGAATCGCTGCCAACTGCTGACCATCTCAGGCGCTTTTTTTGTCGCATACTTTCGGCCCCAGATCGTCAGTGGCTTTTGTCTGCTTCGTGGGGTACCCAGCCAGTGGTGCTAACCTCCGTAGAAAACGCGTCTCTCCGACCGTCCCCTCTCAGTTTGAACTCACTTCACAATTTTTCTCGCATCACCCGCCGCTCCCCTTGTTCCCGTCTCAAGATCGTCTGCGGCACCTAGTCCTCGTGAATACCCGCTTTTGTCCTCTCAAATAGTTTGCCTTTTGTCTTTTCTCTGACATCATCTTTCGCGCCGATCCTCTTCCCCGGCATGAGCCGGAACTCCTGTCCTCTCCGAGCTCGCCTGTCGCCCCAGCCTTCGTCCCGAAGATCGTTTCTCTGCGGCCTTCCTCTGCGAGATCGTGCTTCGTTCATGTCTTCATCGGCCGTTTTCGCTCTCTCCGGGACGGCCGGTCGCGTCCACCCAGTCTGCTTTCCAGATGGCCTGTCGCCTCGTCCTCGTCGGGTTCTGGCGCCGTGCTCCCCACCCTCGTCCTCGTCGGGTTCTGGCGCCGTGCTCCCCACCCTCGTCCTCGTCGGGTTCTCGCGCCGTGCTCCCCACCCTCGTCCTCGTCGGGTTCTCGCGCCGTGCTCCCCACCCTCGTCCTCGTCGGGTTCTCGCGCCGTGCTCCCCACCTGGCCGGCGCCGCCGTCCGGCCGACCGACGGCGCCGGCCGGGTGGGCGGTCGCCCTGATGCGGCCGATAGCCGTGACGGACGAGCGCTCGTGGCGCGCGTGATACGGACCCGACGCGCCGTGTTTGTCGCGCCGCTTCACACGGCTCGCGGCCCCGAGTGGCGTGGATGGGCGGCGGCACGAGAGGGAAGCGGCGGCTAATGTGGCGCGCTGATGGACGCCGCCGGATGGACGATTATGGAAAGCGAGCGGCCGCTTGCTGCAGTCTGAATGCTCGAAATGGCGCTAAATGCGAGCGGTGGTCGGCGAGCCTGCCATCAGCTGTGATTTGTTGTGCCGGTGATTGGTGGCGCGCATGACGGGCGGTATTCGGCGCGAGGTCGGCCGGCGGTGCAGCGGCGGCCGTCAGCGGCTGCGTGCTCATTACTGGCGACGCTCGTCGCCAGCGAGGTGACCTCAGCCGGGCGGCGTGATCGCTCCCGACCGGCGCTATCGGTGATCCTCGTGAAGATATCGGGCGGGCGCCCAGTTAATGCGCCACAAGGCCAGACCGTGACCGCCGGTATGGCCCAGTGAGGCGTGATTTACTCAGGGGCTGTGTGCACGGCGTGGTCACGAGATGGCCACGGAGGCGTGATCAGTCGCTCCACGATACCCCGACGGTCACGACCGCTCTGGCGGTGTTGTGTCGGGCACGTACCGGCTTCAAACCAGGTCATGACAGGCAGGACAATGGCCAGCTAGTAGCAACGGGGCTATGTTGTTAAAGCGGCCGGTGTCCGCCACGCCGCCACGACTGTCGAAAGACACGGACAGCAGGGGCCGCCTGTCGGCACCTCGACCCGGCCTGATCCTGTCTTTTTCGTCGGTGGCGGCATACCTTGGGGTGCTCTCTGTGCTCTCTCTTTCTGCAGCAGCTGCGGCCGTGCCAGTCTGACCGCGTGGGCCGGCAGGGCCCGGTGCAGCCCGTCTGCTGCTGACCAGCCGTCGCCGTTGGTCGCCACGCCCGCGAGCTGACGTCCGTGAGCGGCTCGCGGACCTGGCGCGCGCCCTCGGACCGTGCGACTGCCGTCCTGCGCGGCGGCCTCTGCGGCGGCGGCGCCGGGTCCCGCCGCCGTCATCGAGTGTGACCTCGACGACAACGTGTCTGACGAAACGGCGTGGGACGGGCGCTCTGACCACCCATTCTCACGCCGTGGGCATGGTTGCGAGTCTCGCCACCTGCTAAGGTCCACCGAAGTTCTGGCCGCGCCACATGTGCTTCGACAGTTTTCGTAGATATAACAGTCCGTCTTTGCCCGATTACCTTTACTCTACCTTTGTCTTTGCCATGAATTTAGATTGTCCCGCCATAAATTTAGATTGTCCCCCACGATTGCTCGTGCATCACTAGCGGGGTGGGGGGGGGGGAGAGGGGGCGGAGGGGACTTGGCCGACGCTGGCCCACGATCCGCCCTCTTCCGGCCTGTGCTATGTGCAATTCTGGCCCGCACCGCTGTGCTTCGTACACCATCAACCTGCACTCGGCCCATTATGGTGCAGGTTGTCCTGAGCTCTGTGCTCCATGAGCTCCATGTGCTCCAACTGTGCTCCATCCATCGCGCCCGGCCCGATGATCCATCCGAGGCCTCTGCTGAGCCCGGGGTTCCATCCATGGCCTAAGCCCGGGCCGGTATTTCATACCTGGTTCGTGCTCAGTCCGGTTCTCAGCCGTCTGGCCGTTCGCGCCGACGGACCGTTGCCGGGCGGACGGGCCGCCGCCTCCGCCGCCGCCGCCGCTGCCGCTGCCGCTACCGCCGCCGCCAGGCTCGGGCCCGCCTCGGAGCCAGCTAACCGGTGCCACGGGCCGACTTACAGCGTGTCTCAGACGGGTCCGACACGCCGTGCGGTGACGAACGGGCCGCCGGTACGGGGGCGGAACACCGGCTGACCGGGAATACCACTGTCAGTGCGCGGCATCGTGTACGGCCAAGATGAATACATTTCTTGGCACGTGGTGACCATTTTTGCGCACGCTGCTGAACTAGCATGCATGGGGCAGGCTGTCTCATATATATATATATATATATATATATATATATATATATATATATATATATATATATATATATGATGCCTATTCTCACAAGCTCTAGGCAGTTTGACTGCTCACCTAAGTGCCGGCGTGGGAAGATTTCGCCGTTTGATTTATCGGTCTAACAGCAGGATATTGAGCTCAGCCTTTTTAACGACCGGTTTCATGTCAGTCTTCCAATGCTGAAGTCATCCCTTATGACAGTAGCATTGCTTCCTCAAGGAAAACTTGTGGACATGTCTCCAGTGGAACACCCTTGTACGTCATTTAAGGAAAGTGAAACATTCCGATCAGCTTCAGTTGTGCCCCGTGCGGAGGTCTATCCCAAACTGTCGTATAACATCCTGCATCGTAGCGCTGCTCGATTGATTGATTGATAATGATTACGAAACGTTGTTGAGCATGGCTTACTACAGTAAAGGCATCAGAGATTGGCATAACTGCCTAAATGCATTCTAATCATGCAGAATTCGTAATTATGAGAGCCACACAGCCCTCGTCACTGCCTTAACATATACTTTCAATAATAATAAGAATAAGAGCGGGGACTATTCTGTAGCCTTATTTGAGGCACAGAAGCGTACACCGATCCTGCTAGGCTACCACCGCTCGGTTGCGCGATTGGTCTGTGCGCGCACCGGTACTGGTGCGCGGTCTTTGATTCAAGCCTGACCTCGGCAAGCTCGTCCCAGACCGGCTGCCTGCCACGAGATGGCAGCAGCTGCGGAACGATCGCTCTGCCGCGGGACCAACGCTGCATCAACCAGCGCCCTCGGCGATCGCTTCACGGACATGGTCCGCATTTAAACATACCCTGCGAGCTGTGACCCTGTGACCCTGTGACCCGCTCCGAGGGCATGGGCTCGCCGTGGCTCACCGAGGCAGTCCTCTGACAACCGGGCCCGATGAATCGGAATAGGCCAGCTCTGTGCATCCGTGACACTGTGGGCATCCTGGCCGCAAGTGCTTGGTCAGGACTGTCTCGCTGGGGTGCCGAAAAAGGAAAAAAACCGCCATGTGTGGTGCACAGTGTATGTGTAAATGCAGAGAAGCCGAAAATGCCCAGGATGGAGCGCAAAAACGAATGTTAAAAAGTCCTTCTGAGCTCCGCAGTGCGGCTGTCCCGCCGCTCTGTCCTAGGAGGGTCGCTCCCGCTCGCTCCCACCGCTCTGTCCTAGGAGGGTCGCTCCCGCTCGCTCCCACCGCTCTGTCCTGGCAGGGTCGACCCCCTGTTCGCCGATGAGCCCACGTCGCGGCAAAGCCCCGTCCTGATTGACAGGGTAAGGTTACGTGCACGATGACGGTGACGCCGCGCTGAGGTTGCGCGCCGCGTCCCCTGGTGACCTGTGACGGTGTGACCCGTGACCTGGTAATGACCTGTGACGGAATGACTGGTTCGGATCGTGGACGAAACGGCCGAGGGCCGACCGTCCACCGCCGACGGTCCCGGCGTCTGGCGGCTGGCGAGGGGCGCGGACCACACCGAGAGGTCCCGGCGTCTGGCGGCTGACGAGGGGCGCGGGTCACTCCGAGAGGTCCCCGGCGACACAGAGCCGGCGTGCGGCTGCCGTGTCGGTCCCGGCGTCTGGCGGCTGACGAGGGGCGCGGACCACTCCGAGAGGTCCCCGGCGACACAGAGCCGGCGTGCGGCTGCCGTGTCGGTCCCGGCGTCTGGCGGCTGACGAGGGGCGCGGGTCACGCCGAGAGGTCCCGGCGTCTGGCGGCTGACAAGGAGCGCGGACCACTCCGAGAGGTCTGCGGCGACACAGAGCCGGCGTGCGGCTGCCGTGTCGGTCCCTGGGTCCGATGTCGCCGGTCTCGAGGTGACGCCGGCGAAGACGCCCGCAACTGGTCAGGGTCGCCCCGCGCTGTTACGCCAGAGCCGCGCCCTGGTCGGGATGTCCGATTAGCGCGCGGCGTGCTGCCCTGGGACGCTCCTGACCTACTGCGGCCGCCCATTGTTCACCTAATGAGTGTCCGGGGCTTTGCCTCGAGCTGCAATCGATACCGCGCTGAACCCTTTCAGTCGTGGTTAGCGGGGCAATTGTTGACTTGCGCACGTGTACAATGCATTATTCAGGCTATATCATGGCGCGGTATGAATAATTCACCATGCGCACGGGCGATCTCGGTCCCAGTCAGGCGCAGAAGGCGAACGCTGCGGCGGAGTTGAACGTCATCACCGCTCATGACCGCGGACAGCATCGACACTGGCGTGAGGCAGCCTCATTTGGATCAAATAGCCCCGGTGATCCATAAAGGCGCTCGGTACAATCTGTGGTGGAGCAGCATCTGCACTTAATCTGTTCAGTCGCATGCCGCTTGTGGCGCCTGGTATGCGACTCGGTTTTTGCTGAGACACGATGCTGACAGCACAGCCCTGCTGCATGCTTACGTGTAACAAATGATTTGGTTACTCAGATATGCAATCGGCGAAGCTAGCACTGCCAGGTGTTCTTTTGAGGGCTGCCGTTATTCATTGACTTATGGGCGCCGTATGCTTTCCCATTAAAGTGAACGGCTTATTTATGAAGTGGTAACTACTCTGTAATGTTCACCCAGGCAGTACCTGAGTAAACATTACACCATAAGTTTTACCTCGCGTATTCCCGCCTCATATTATATTGTCTCCCGTCATAATCAGATGAAAGGATAGCGTGGTCCTCAAGGCGCTAAAGTTTAAAACGGCTTGCTTAGTGTTTATCTCTCCTCTCAGGATATTTAGAGCACCGAGAACCGTTTCACACACACAGTCGTTAGACCGAGGCTGACGCAGAAACGGGTACAAGCCAATGCAGGCTTTTTCATCATGCACAACAAAGGGAATCTAAACGGACACCTGCAACGGAGAATCTGGCCCGGTGAGTGGTTCTCGCAACATCGGGCCGGTGAGCATGGGCTGGTGAGAGATCAGAAGCCGAGCCGAGACGGATTGGACTGCTTCGAATCCATTGAACACCGGAGCCTGTATCGTTCCCATTAACAAGGTCTTGTCGGCTCAGGCTGGTGCGCACGCCATCAAGGCCCGCCCCGGCACTGGTGCCGGCGCCAGATGTGAGAAAATACCGCGTCACCGCTTCGCACGGCTAGATCAGCCGTTGTATTTTGGTCCTTCTTAGAGAACCGATTTGAATACCGAAGTGCCTTTGTTCTGCTCCTTACGGCGATAAGCGGTACAGCTCTTATCGCCGCCGACGATTTCCGTAGCTTGCTCAGATACATAGGGGTGGCAACGAACACGTGTCGTGCGGGGCGGGCAAAGCGGGCAACATTGTCTCTATACTAGGAAACTGAGGCGGTCGCTGTACCACATAAGGAGAAGCTTCTTGTGAAGCCGCTCAAGGCGCATCACCCTGGCCGGGCTGGCCTTTTCCGTCTCCTGTCAGTGACCTACATACTGGTGGAGGAACTGACCTTATCAGCTTCGGCTGGCCTGCACATGCGTCTCTCCGTCCTATCGGCCGCCTTCCTGTCCAGTCCTGCGCTTCTAACTTTTTGTGCGCCCAGTGTATGTCGACGCGTCGCCATCTGTTCCCCTGACCTACTCAGAAGCGGGTAAGCTTTGTCCAGTTTATCTGAACCGCAGTTTGTCATGTATAGGCGATGCCATTTTGATATCTGTAGATGATTAATCAGGCTTTCACGTTTAAGTAACTATGAAATTATGTGTTCGTTGTACGTCGTAATGTAGCCGTTCCACTTTCACCGCATATCGCACAATGGTATTGGAAGATGTACACAGTAATATTCTTAAGATGATCATCGCTTCACTCTCACCATATCGTGAATACAAGAGCGTTTCGCTCTTCTTCTCGCTGCGCTTCTTTTCATAACCATTTCACTGCAATAAGTATCACCACAATCAACTTCCGGCTCGTCGTCTGCCCAGGTGCGCCCAGCGGGTTTACGGTGTCAGGACCGCCCATGGTGTCGGGGTGAGCCGCCTCTGCCCCCAACCCCCGCCCTCCGCCCCTTCGTCCGCTCCTCCTAATACGGCTTCGGTTCGTGCCGCCTCATACCGTTCGCCGTTTGGGGCCAGCTGGCGCCGCGCCGCCCGCTGACGAGGCGGAGACGCCGCCACAGAGCCGCACACCCCGCCAGACACACCGCCGCCACAGAGGCACACACTCCGCCAAACAGACCGCTGCCACAGAGCCACACACCCCGCCAGACACACCGCCGCCACAGAGGCACACAGTCCGCCAGACAGACTGGCGCGTGCAATTGCTGCAAGAATTGTCATTACAGATTGATAAAGCCCTACATGAAGTCCATGAAGTAGGCATTTCCTTGTTTCGGAACGGTGCCAGTCCTTTGTACTGTTCATATCCTTGAGGATTCAAACTGCATGCAATGCCTCCTGAGATGCAATGTCCAGTTGTCAGTGGCCCATCAGTTTAGCGTTGGCGACTGAACCTTGAAAAACTCTCAACTAATCCGCCCTTTCTGTTCCAGACAGGATAACCGTTGAAAATGCCGGCGGTAGATTTGGAGACTATCGACGATGAAACTCTTCTGCGGAAGATGGTGAGTAGTCCGGCTGTCTGCTGAGCGGACAGGCGCACCAACGGCGAGCCCGAGGCAGCAGACCAGGGTGACTGTGACACGCGTTCAGGCGCACCAACGGCCAGCCCGAGGCAGCAGACCTGGTGTGACTGTGACACGCGGCCAGGCGCACCAACGGCCAGCTCGAGGCAGCAGACCAGGGTGACTGTGACACGCGTTCAGGCGCACCAACGGCGAGCCCGAGGCGGCAGACCAGGGTGACTGTGACACGCGGCCAGGCGCACCAACGGCGAGCCCGAGGCGGCAGACCAGGGTGACTGTGACACGCGGCCAGGCGCACCAACGGCGAGCCCGAGGCAGCAGACCTGGTGTGACTGTGACACGCGGCCAGGCGCACCAACGGCGAGCCCGAGGCGGCAGACCAGGGTGACTGTGACACGCGTTCAGGCGTACCAACGGCGAGCCCGAGGCAGTCACGTCAACCAGTTAGCTTACTCGGGACTGGGACTAGACATTCTACCATCAGGGGTCTTTCACTGCTTGAGTTCGGTGAAAGTTTATTTCGTCTTGAATTGAGGCGGGGAAACGCAGAGCTTATTTGCAGCTTTACATAAGCCATCTCTAGTAAGGAAGGCGATGTTCAGCTGTTGCACGGGGCAAATGTAACATATCATTAATTATGTAACTATCCATTGATCGGCGTTGGGGGTACACCTCTCCGCGATCTATTGCCGCCATTTCTCTCAAAATTGGAGCGGGTGATAACAGACGAAGTGTTGCTTTGTGAAGAAAAGCGTGCTTGAGTAAGATTGAATAGTGCCTTTGAGACTTTGTGGAAACAGCAGTTCCGTGCCGTCGTCAGGTAAATCCGGTCTGATATTATGTATTCCTGTCTCGTTACTCAGACACCCTATGCGAAGCAAAAGAGTCAGAGGACGCAAATCAAAGTGGGCTACAAAGCTAGCTAACTAATTTAGAGGTAAGACGTCTGGTTTATCAGTGCAAGTTGGCGAGAAGCATAAACAAAGACTTAATCATGGGGTGAAACGGAGATCCCCAAGCCACAGGTGGTCAGCCACCTCAGCGGTCAGCAGCAGCAAGACCTGACCACGGCTGACGCGGTGGGCCGGAACTGGGTGCTATCCTCAGAAGTCATCGATCCCCGCCCAAAGCTGGTCCGAAAAAGTAGATGTGGAAAAAGAAATCCAGCGAAAGCAAGAGACCGTCATTTTAACCGATACATCTCGAGAGGCATCCTTTTTCTGAGACAGAACCAACTGTGAGGCAAACATCATAACTTAACATCCTGCCTTAAAAATCACCTCAAAGCCAAACTTTTTCAGCACATCTCCTAGCGTGCCGTTGTTACAGCTGCCCTCCGTTTCCACTGCATTTTCAGCATTCGGTCAAACTTGAATCCTGTGAACCCTTCGTGAGGCGATTCTGCACGATATGTGTCTGCATTCTACATGACCTGGCTAACAGGCTAGACCTGCCTTATTGGGACAGTGTGGTCTCGATGACGTCAGTCCCAGGATCCCGCGGCGTCATCCCTCGTGCCACTGGCGCTTACACTGCATTCCGGAGCCCCCCTTCCGTTAGCTGAAGAGCCGTGTACCAGAAGCTCCCTCAGACCGCCGCCTGCGACGGATCGACGCCGCCGTAGCTTGTGACAATCGCGCCGCTTCTCTGTTCGATGCGAGCAACGCAGCAGGTGCACGGGGCGAGGCCTGACCTTACAACAGCTGCGACTCTAATGTAGCCGATACCAACCCGTCCCATTCCGTGGGCCAGCTCCAAACGAGTCTGCGCTGGAATAGGACCCGCTAGATTGTGTTCCAGGTGTGACGCACGAGGCGCTGAGTCGTGCAAGGTGCTCGCGTTTGTGACGGTTTAGTTGTTCGCGTAGGCGGCGAAGCCGTGCCGCGCCGGAGTAGCGGGTCCTATGATGAGGCCCAGTGAGGCGCGCCGCGCGCGTGCCCGCCTCTGGCCTCTAGTCGCTGGGTGCGGAGGTGAAGCCCCAGATCGTCAGACCCGGAACGCTATGCTTACCACAAGCACGACAGTCAGTCACAGTCACGGCAGTCGCGCGACGCTCAACTCTGAACCAATCAGCCGCCGAGCTCGGTGCTGTCGGGAGCCGGGCGTCACGACTGGAGCCGGGCCCGGCCCTCCGCTCACGCCGCCGCCGCCATGGTGACAAACCGCGGCCGGTTTCATTGGCCAATTAGGGTCGCCCTGTTTGTCTAATTAAGACGTGATGCTGGGAATGTCGGCGGTTTATCATTCAGCCCACGCGCCTGTTTTTTGTTAGGGAGGTCACCCGTCGCCCGACCCTCCCCAGTCGGCTATCTCATCTCGGCTTCATCTGTCAGTCCGCTAGCATTGCCTCCGTGCGCTCCAGCCGCCCCTTGAGTCTCGGCCAGCCTGATGGTTTACTCTCACCGACTGACCGGTGCGCTTGCCTCATATGAATCCACGCGATATGCAGTCCAGTCAAACCTTGCATCTCGCTCGAACCGAGCTCTCGCCCGCCCAAACCGAGTTCGCGCCTGCTCGAACCGAGCTCTCGCCCGCTCAAACCGTGCTCACGCCCGCTCGAACCGAGTTCTTGTCTCTCTAACGTTTGCTTCGCTCATACGATCTGACTATATGCATAAGTTCTCTCTGTTGCGCTTTGTGAGACACTTCGGGAACTCCTTTGATCATACGCAGTCGGAGTGGGTTTGGGCTGACAAATTAATCACCAGGCCTGCACACGAGCCCAAAAACCTCGACTTGATTCAGAGCTCTAGTGTCCTGGATCTCAGAGTACGGCCGGACGCAGACCCATGTCTGTTTCGTACCTTCATACTGGCTTTCAATCTGTCATAAATTTCCGCATTATTTAATTTGAACTTTTCAGTGGACTTCAGTCAACAAGTGGGGGCCGTTTTTCATCAGTCTTGGGTTGATCGATTGCTCTCCGCTAAATACAGTGGCCCGTCTCTTCTGCCCCGACCGAGCAGCAGCCAGTTAGCTGTCAAACCTTGGGCTGTCTGCAGTTATAGATATGGTCTGTCTTGTTGCGTAAGACGCGCTCAGCGAACCACTCTGCCTATTTTGGAGCGCCGCCAATGGTCTGGAGTCCATGTCAGAACGGCCAGGTACACGTCGGCTGCGTCTGTTTGCTAATCCCACACACAAGATGGAGTGTCGGCCACTTAACTTCGCTGTACCCGTACATCTATACGATGTTCACGTCAGTGAACTCTGTTGTGTCAACTGCTGACGAAGATGGCTGAGCTGCGTCGGCAGAGAGTGCGCGTAGGCGTTGCGCGTGCGTGTATTTGCCACTCTCTGAGGCGGAGAGCGGACACTGACACCGGTGCGTCTGCTCCACAGTGGAAAGAGGAGGAGGACGTCACCGAGAAGCGCAATATTCGCGCGCGCATGTTCCTGCTGCGCGAGCGTCGCCTGAAGGACATGCACGGCGCCGAGGAGGGCGGCGAGGCGGAGCGCGCCGCGCAGCGCTCGGCCGAGCGCGACTCGCGCTACCGCCGCCTCGCCGGCGAGGCGGCGGACGGCGAGCCGGCTGGCGCCGACCACCGGGAGGCGGCGGACGAGACGGAGGGCAACCGCGCTCGCCGCAGCCCGGCGACCGAGACGCGCGCGGGCTCTCCGCGCAAGACGTACAGCGCGCGCGCGGCCACGGCCGACGTGCCCGTGCGTAAGTCATCAACCCCAGAGCGGACCTCGCCACCCGGCCAGCGGGCGCGGCGCGCCATCTCGACGGTGGAGCCACCTGGCGGCCGCGGCGGCCGTGCAGCGCGCGGCGTCATCCTCGCCGCCGCGCAAGCAGCGCATCGACATCGTCAATAAGCCGGAAAACGCGCGCGTCGAGATCGGCGACGGCCAGATCGTGATCGACTTCAGCCCGGACAAGTTCTCCAAGGCGCGCCGCCAGGTGGTGTTGGAGTACGAGGGCGACCGACCGGACGTCAAGCAGATCCAGACCAAGCTGCAGGAGCTGGGGCTGGACGCACTGGAGAACATCGACATCATGCTGACCGGGCTGGGCGGCGAGCGGCGCGTAGGCACGCAGCGCCAGCGGACGGCAGTGCGCGAGTTCGACGCGCCGGCGGAGGACGTCGGTGAGCTAATCGAGCCGGAGATCGTCAGCGACGCCGACGTCGAGGTGGCCGACGGCGAGATCCTCATCACCATCGAGCCGGACGATCCGCAGAAGCGGCGTCAGCTCATGTGGAGCTTCAGCGGCACGGAGAAGCCGTCGTGCGCAGCGCTGCGAGAGAAGCTGCAGGACTTTACGTTCAGCGACATCGCGCGCCTGGACGATATCCTTGCCGACTTCCAGGGCTGCGTGCTGGATGACACGGAGGAGGTGCACGAGGACGAGCAGGGTCGCTCGATGACGCGCCGCCGCAAGCTGATCCAAGTGCGGCGCTGAGGAGCGGCCACTGACGCCGCCGCCGCCGCCCCGACCGCGCCGCCCCCGCCACCAGGAGCTTGCACTGCGCGGTAGTGAGCTGCACGTGTGGGTGCCGGCCACGGTGGGCGCGCCGGCGCGCCAGTTCCTGCTTCGCTGCCCGAGCGGCTCGCCCGACCTCGACCAGGTGCTCTGCGTGCTGGAGAACAGCGGCCCGGCCGGCCTGGACGAGCTGCTGCAGGACATGGCCTGCGCGCCGACCGAGTCGGAGGAGCCGGCCGTCGACGGCGAACCGGTGCGCACGACGCGCGCCGAGCTGCCGGCCGAGCCGTCGGCCGCGCCCCCCGTCGCCGGAGGGCGGGCCAGAGCTGCGTCTGCGCGACGGCCAGATTCAGCTGAGCTTCGAGCCGACGGAGCCGGCCGGCCAGGTGCGCGAGGTGGTCATCAGTTACGAGGGCTCGCGCCCCGACGTGCAGGCGCTGGCCGAGCGCGTGCGCCAGCTGGGCGTTGAGGACCTGGGCCGGCTTGATGAGGTGCTGGGCGAGCTGGCCGGCGAGGTGCTGCAGGACGAGACGGTCGAGGAGGTGGACGCCTCCGGCCGCCGGGTCATCCGCCGTCGGAAGGTAGTCCGCACCGAGGAGTCGAGCCCACAGTACGAGCCCACTCCCGCCGCCAAACAGCCGACTAACGCCAAACCCAGTCTTTCAACGGGACCGGACGACGTGAACATCGAGATCAACGGCCAGCAGGTGGTGCTGACGCTGAGCTCAGGCGGCCAGCAGCAGGAGGTGACGGTCACGCTGGAGGGGGACAACCCAGACCTGGACGAGCTGAAGGGCCAGCTGAAGACCCTGGGCTTCTTTACCGCGCCGCAAGTCACGCACATTATGAAGGTGATCACGAAACACGTCGAGGGCAAAACGAAGAAGAACGGAGGGCGCGCTGAGAAACAGCCCACATCAAACTTCCAGCGCGCGGGTTCCACCCGCGGCTCAACACGGGGCTCGACGCGTGGTTCCACCCGCGCTGCCCCTTCGCGCAACAAGGTGTCCGAGATCTCCAAACGGTTCACCACCACTGCAACGCACACGGTGGCAAAGCCAGACGGAAGTGAGCCGAGCTCGCGGAGGTCCAAGCCGGAGGAGCCGACCACCAGCCGCGTCACGCGCCGCGTCGAGACGACGATGACGCGCCGCGCCGCGCCCGCTCGGGACGCGTCGCCGACCAAGCGCTCCGCCGGCACGCCGTCCAAGCCGACAGGGCGCGGCCGCGACGCCTCGCCGACGAAGCGGGAGCCGGAGCGGCGACGCCGGCCGGACCGCGGCGAGCCCAACGAGCCTGCCGAGGGGCGCGTGCAGCTGCGCGACGGCGAGGTGGTGATCGACCTGGGCGAGGGGGCGCCCGGCGCGCGCCACCTGGTGGTCGAGTACGACGGCTCGCGGCCCGACCTGCAGGCCATCCAGCGGAAGCTGCGCGACGTCGGCCTCGACAACCTGGACGAGATTGAGCGCATCCTGGCCGGCGTTGAAGGCGACGTGGTGGAGGATGTGCGCCGCGAGGAGACGGCCGACGACGGCAGCCGCACCGTTACGCGCACCAAGGTGATCAAGACGCGGCGACCGGCGCCGGCCGACCCGCCACCGCGCACTGGCTCGCCGGAGAAGCGGCAGCCGCTGACGCGCTCGGCGCCGGGCCGCGCGTCCGGCCGGGCGGCCGGCCGCGTCGTGGCGCCGGCAGCCGGCCGCGTGCCGTCAAAAAACGAAGCTAGCAGCCCTCGGCGGTCTGAGGGCGCGCCGCAGCCGGAGGAGGAGAGGACCGCAGTGGACCACACCACCTGGGATGTGCCCGACAACGTGGACGTCAGTGTGGACGAGGCGGGTGTGCTGCTGACGGTGCAGCCGGCCGCGCTGCATGAGCGCCACCAGCTGCTGGTGACCTACGAGGGCGCCGCGCCCGACGTGCCGCAGGTGCAGGAGCTGCTGCGCCGCGTTCGTCGCCACGGCGCCGCCGACCTGGACGCCGTGCTGGCCGGCGTCGCCGGCGAGCTTCTGGAGGAGTCGGACGAGGAGGTGGAGAACGAGGACGGCAGTCGCTTCGTCCGGCGCCGTAAGGTAGTGCGCGCTCCGCCTCCGGAGGACACTTTCGTGTCCGAGACAAAGTTGCAGATCGATGTGGAACCGACGCGACCGCCGCCGGTGGAATTCAACATTAAGCTGGAGAATGCTGAAGTAGAGGCAGTGGAAGACAACAACATAAAGCTCAAGCCGACAACGCGGTCGGGCGCCAGGCCGACCCATACCAGAGAGACGCGGGATGCTCGAACCGCCGACGCCAGCGCCAGGGAGGCCAGGGCGATCTCCGCCGGCTCCTCACACCAGTCCTCTCGCCGCAGCAGTTCGCGTCCGCGAGAGGACAAGAGCCGGCCCGCGGCCAGGGAGCAGCCGGCCGAGATGGGCAGGAGCGCCCCCAAGCGTCCATCGGTGGGGGCACGGCCGACACGACCTCGCGCGGCCAGCCCGGTCAAGCCGGCGTCCCGGCCAGAGGAGGGCCAACCCTGCAACCGCACGCACCAGCACGCGCCGGGCGCCGTCTGCACGCGCAAAGCGCCGCTGGACACAGGCCTGGCGGAGCTGCGACGCCGACGATCGTCGCAGGGCAAGACGGATTCGGCCAGTCCGGACCCGGAGAAGCCGGCGCCGAGGCGCGGCTCCGGACCGGCGGCCAGGGCTGTGCCGGCGCCGGCGAGGACCCCCGCCAGGAGGAGCCGTCAGGAGGCGCCGCCGTCCGCCAGCAGCGAGAGCAGCAGCGAGAGCGACACCGAGTCGGTCACCGAGGAGTTCGTCTACTTCAGCAACAAGGAGGACTCGCCGGACCGTCCACTGCAGGCGGACCGACGCACCTCGGCCGCCGAGAGCGTGTCCGACCTGACCGCGGATGACGACCCCGGTGAGCGGCGGTCGCCGAGCCCGAGCCGAGAGACCGAGCCCGAGCGGCGCGACGGCTCGCCTCGCGCGATGGACGGGCGTGATAGTCTGCCGCGCAGTGATAAAGAGCGCCAGCAGCGCACCATGCACCGGCCAGTTGATGAGGCCTCTGAACCGCAACTCCCGGGACAGACTGACGGCGAGGAGCAGCCGGCCAAAAAGCAGCCGACCAAGAAAGCGCCGCCGGTGCTGGCCAAGCCCCGTGTGACGCACGAGCCCACCACGGAGGAAAATCATGGCTCTGACGACGAGCCGGCCGTCAAGTCTGTCCGCAACAAGCTCTCGCTGTTTGAGCACAAGATGCAGGCGGTGACACGAACGGCGACCTCCGCGCCTAAGTCGCCTCGGACACCGAGAAAGACCACCATCTGGGACCGGGGCGCCGTGGCGGAGGAGCCGACCTCTCCGACCATTGGCCAGGTACCGCGCACGCCCGAATTCTCCCGCAGGCGAGACCTGTTCAACACAAGCGGCGGGAGAGCTCGACCGGACTCCAGCGAGCGGTCGGTGCGCGGGGCCGACGCCGTTGACCGGAGGCAGGAGGAGGATCTGCCGGAGGCCGCGGGACAGCCGGAGGTCGAACGCACCGAGCCGTTGGACGAGCCGCCCAAGAGAGGTCGGCTCGACTCCCGCGGATCACCGGAGCCGGAGCCGGAGCCGGAGCCGGAGCCTGACCGGCGGGACTCCAGCGATAGGCGAGATCATGACACATCTGACTCCTCCAGGGACGCTGTTCATAGTGACCGCCTCAGCTCACCAAAAGACAAGCCGGAAGACGTTCCCGACCCAACTGACGCGGTACGCCACCAGCCGGAGTCAACCAGTGAGCCACACCACGAGTCTCCCGAGCCCGACGATAGTCAGAGCACTCCTCGTCGCGACAGAGAACAGGAATCTCTGGAGTCTGGTGATGGTGACGAGCGTCGTAAGCTGTCCAGGGACGAGCACAGGGCGGAGCGTGGGCGGCCATTGCAGGAACAGAAGCGTTCTCCAGCAAAGACAAAGGAGAGGCCCGATGACGAACAGGATAAGAAGGCACCCGGCAGGGTGCGCGCGCCGGCGAAGGTGGCCGCACGGCAGCCTGGCTCGTCAGGCCGGCGGGCGTCAGCGGATCCCGATCCCAAAAAGAAGCTGGCTGACAAACGAGAGCCCGAGCCCTCCAGAAAGGAGAAGCACACGTCTGAGGCGCCGCCTGGGCGGAGAAACAGCAGAAGGAGCAGCCAGGAAGCCACTGCGAGGCCAGTTAACAGCCATGTTAACAAACGAGAGGAGAAAGGCAGCCCTCCCGACAAAAATGTCGGGCGAAGGCTTACAAAGAAATCATCTGCTGGTAGCATCACGCCCGAACGCAAACCCTCTTCCGAATTAAAGTCCTCTCCGCTGAAGTCCAAATCGCGGGTAACTCCCCATAGGGACGTTCCCCGCCAGGAGCCAGGGCCGCCTGCTGAGCACAGGAAGTCTCCGTCTCCGGTCAGAGACGCCGACTCGCCATCTGAGGAGCCAGCCGACGACTTCCAGAACACGGTGCACGTCGAGATCGTGGACCGCAGTCCCGTCGGTGCCACGGACCAGGTCGATGAGGTGCAGGAGCGCTCGCGCAGCGCGAGCCCGTCTCCAGAGCGGCCGGACCTCGGCAGCGACGAGCTCCGCAAGAAGGCGACGGGGTCCGGCCTGCTGGACAAACTGACGTTCCTGAAGTCGGCCGAAGATACGAAGGAGACCAAGAGCGACGGCGTGCCGTCTCCTGACGTTCGCTTCAACGAGGACGATCAGCCGTTCGGAAACAACCGACGCCAGTCGCGGCCGACCAGCGAGACCAGCTCAGCGCATGAGCCTAGCCCGCCTGCGTTCCGACGGCAGCCCAGCTTCAAGTCGTCCCGGTTGGCCAAGGCATTCGAGAAGTTCGAGATGCGCTCGCACGGCTCGTCGCCAACTCGCGAGTCACCCAGTCCGCGCAAGATCCGCCTCGATCGCAGTGACTCGGTGCACAGAGCGCGCGACAAGTTTGAGCACCTGGCGCACGAGGAGCCGGCGCCGGTCGAGCCGCGGCCGGTGCACACGCGCGCCTCGCCAGAGAAGTCGGTCACCGTGATGCGCGCCCAGATCGAGATGGACCGGACGCCGGCCGAGCTGGCGGCTGCGCGTCCCTCGCCCGCTCGGAAAGGATCGTTCTCGCCGGAGCGGGAGTCACCCAAGGCGATGAACGGACGTCGAGAGAGCGGCGAACATCCCCAGGTCCTCTCCCAGGACCAGCTTCTCAAGCACGATGTTGAATCAGACGTTGAGTACCAAGAGGATTCGTACACAGACGTGAAGCACGCGCTGAAGCAGGGGAAATTCCCGTATAAGCGGATGGTGAGCAGCTCGTCGCTGGCGTCCGAGAGCAGCGAGCAGACGCGCGTCTCGGTGGACGAGGCACGCAAGCTGAACCGCGCCGACTCGATCCGCAGCGTCGAGCAGGTTTCGCGCGAGCCATCCCCTCAGAAGCAGGTGGCGCCGGAGCCCGAGCGTGAGCCGGAGCCGGAGCCGGAGGCGGAGCCGGAGGCGGTGGAGGAGCCGCGGTCAGCACGACTGGTGGGGCAGCTGGCGCGCGAGCAGAACCGTTCGTCCTTCCGCAACGTGACGCGGCTGTCAAATCTGCGTTACAACCCGGGCAGCGAGTTCATGGACGAGCTGTTCCCGAGCTCCGATGGCCGGAAGGCCGACCAGGCGCCCCCCGCCCCTGGGAAGCCCGCCGCTCCGGCCGCAGGTACCGCCGAGAAGGTGCCGTCCCCGGCGCGAACGCAACCCTCGCCGGATGCGGAGGTGGACGAAAAGCCGGGGGACAGGGACGCGCAGCGTCAGCCTCGCAGCCCTCCCAGGGAGCGTCAGGAGGAGTAGCGTCCCGAAGCGACCGGAGGAGAAGCCTTCACGCTCTCGCCACCAGCCGCGCAGATCTCTGGAGCCTCAGGAGCTAGAGCTGGACACGGACAGTCAGTCCATGCCCACGTCGCAGGATAAGCGGCCCATAGATGAGATCGACGACCTGGCGCTGCTGGAGACGCTGGTAAGCTGGAGGGTACCAATTTCGAGTAAAGGAGCTACGCAGTTTTGTTCGGACAATAAACGAGCCCATTTGTGAACATTTCAGTCCTGCAAAAATGTCAATCCGTAAGCTTGTCTAGGAATATGCGTGATGTAATTATCATTAGCTATAACTGCAGTGCTTGCATAGTGTATTCCTTTGCATCAAGACTAGCTAGCATTATCCCGTGTAAACGATATTCTATATTTCTGGACCTTCGTTAGATTTGTCAATGATACCAATCATTTCGTTTGCAGCTGGAAAAGGCAAAAAATTATGACGAAAGATTCAAACTGCGCACGCGGATCAGGATCGTGAAGAAGAAAACGACCGCCACGTCGACTAGCTCATCGCTGTTTTCCAAAAACACAGCGCGTCCGAGAAGTCCTGCAGTTCGCGATGACACCGCAGCACAAAAGCCTGTGGGCGTAGAAGCGAGGAAGCCTTTCACATCAAAGGCAGGCAAAGGTCCTGAGGAAATTGTGAGCCCGAATCGCGGGGTCACGAACGCTCCGAAATTAGAGTCTGAACCGGACGTGGCCCAAAGTTCAGACACCAAGCCGGAGAGGATCTCGAAGATAGGCCAGGAGCCGGAACGAATCCCAGACAGAGATATAGAGCCCGGAAGAGGCTCCGTTGAGAACGGAGAACCCACGAGAAACCTCGAGGTGAAGGCCTCTGGGAGGCCCCAGCCCACACCGACAGAGCCGTCAGAGCCCAGCGCGGAGTGCCCGGGCAGCTCTGGTCCCGACACCACCCGATCGTCTCCCGAGGCCGTCCGACCGTCGGCCACGCGCCGGCCGTCGCGCCGCTCCGAGACGGAGGAGGAGCCGCGCTCGCGGCGTGGCTCGCGCAGCTCGCGGCGCGGCTCCCGCGAGCCGGTGGCGCCGCCGATCGTGCAGGAGCCGGAGGAGGGCGAGCCGCCACCGGACGTGCAGCGGCTCAAGATGGAGTACGCCTCGCGCCGGTTCCACTCCTCTGATCCGCTGGACCGACCCCGCATCGAGGAGGTGGCGCCCGGCGAGGACGAGGACGAGGACGAGGACGAGGACGAGGACGAGGAGTATGACGACAGCGAGGAGGAAGAAGACGAGCGAAGCTCTCTTCCTCGCCCAGGAACGAGACAATATTCCGCGGTACACGGCCTCGCGGGATGAACAGAGCTCCGCCCCGCGTCTGGCTCCACAGGAGGAACACGCGGCACGAGATAGCAGTTTGAACGACGAGAGAAATTCCGCTTCTCGTCTGGAACGAGACACTGGCTTGCAAAACAAGCGCCCGGAACGAGACTCGGCTCAAAGAAACGAGCTACCAGAACGAGACACAACTCAAAGGAACGAGCGTCCGGAGCGAGACACGGCCCAACTGAACGAGCCTCCGGAACGAGACACGACTCAAAGGAACAAACGTCCGGAACGAGACGCAATTTCACGAGACGAGCCTGACAAGGTTTCACGTGGAGAACGGCAGCTCCAGCGACCTTCATCCGTCCACCGCGTTGACAGAGACAAGGATTTCAAGCCCAAGTCCAGTGCAGAGCCGCTCAAATCGAAGGTCGACAAGTTTGAGAGTAAGTGACTTAGAGTCATTTATTATGATCTTTAGCTGTGGGCTATGCATCTGGGAAATTCATCCTTTCCTTAAAAACAAACCTTTAGAGAAGGGATGCTGCCTGACACGCAGTCGTGCCTATTCCTGGCAGAATCACATCGATCAAGTTATCCAGGATCGAGACAATCCTTTGTTATTTGATAACCCATGACTAAATTTCATCAAGGAAAGGCAAGCTAGTATGCCGGGAGCATGCGCATCACATTCCTTTTGATACCAGCAGCAAGTGTCACGTTCATCCAAACGGTTTGATTCTTGAAGTCAAAGGCGATGCTTTTAAATGGATTTTAGAATTTAACCCCCATTTGCTGCCCACCTGATCAGTTCCTTTAGCACCAGGGGCTTGGCTTTCCGTGCATCTTTCGAGCAGTCATCTGCTACTCTCTCAAACCCGATTACATCAGCTGCAGTCGCCCTCTCACTCTCGGTTTCCACAAGCGGCGAAGTAGCGAAATCATGGTGGGTGCTGCATGCCTGAAATTTGGTCGGACATCTGCGGCATCGGGACAAGGCATCACACTGAGCGAGCTCTTTGCACTACAGACAGACGTGGCGTTAGTGTTTGTGGCGCCTGTTTCGTGCCTCGCCTGTGCACCGGCTGGGTTCCGTCGCCTCGCGAGCACGCCCCGGGGTGCTGGGCTGTCTGATGTCTCACGCAGCATGTGTGCACCCTTTGTTTGAGGACGGCGGAACGCGCCGGGCATGACTCCGCATGTTCTGTTTGTAGGCGAGCAGCCGGAGAAAGACGCCAGCGACGCCGACTCTGGGGGTGAGTGACTTATCCTGAAGCCGTCTCATCGCGTAGTATTCACCGCTAAATGCACTCGCTTCCGTTGAGCCTTGCCAGGAGAACTGCACGCTTGTCGCTACGGGCTGTTTCGAAGCCTACCGCGGAGTTGCACTGAGTGCTGTGCCGGGCTGCTGGAGCGGGCATGTGTGCCGAGCTGCGGTCTGAACGGTCGACTATTGCGCACGCCGTCAGAGTTGGCCCGAGTGGAGGAGCCGGCCTGGCTGAAGCGCTCCTCAGCGCCGCGCTCCAAGACGCCCAACACAGCTGCCGGCCGCATCATGTCCAGCTACGGCGTCGGCCCCACCGACGACAGCGGCGTGCCGCTGTTCGGCCTGCGCGCGCTCAGGAAGCAGAAGACCTGCCAACCGCCAGGTGGGGCACGGACTGACAGTAGGGTGGAGAGGCCTAGGGAGGCGCGGAGAAAGGCAGAGGAGCACACTCCGTTGGTGGCATGGGCCGAATAGCATTAATAAGGTCTAGATTATTCTAGCAACAAGCAACAGTGGTTCTGACGGATGGTGTTATAATATAGTGCAAAAACGATAAGTCGTAGATTCAATATGGACTGACTGGCAGGCGTCCTGTGTGAGAGGCGGTCTTCTCCCGGTTTCGTGCTGACCAGTGGCCCTCCTGCCAGCAGCTCCGAAGCCGGACGAGCCGGCACGAGCTGCACCAGCGCCGGCCCCTCAGAAGGCGTCCGCAGCTGTGAAGGCGCCTGCCGCCGCTGCCCCCAGTGGCACAGCTGGGCAGGGAAGCGGCACCCGCTGATGAGTCCTCCGAGCCCCAGCTGCCGCTGTTTGGTGGTCTCAGGGCCCTCCGCTCGCGCAATAAACCGGGTGAGGCTGGACCTTTGGTTCCCCAGCTCACCACCACCTCCCGTGTTTGTATTGCACTGACGATTACGGGATGCATTCGAAGTTTCGCGGGAGGAGGCTATTCGAAAATTGCCGCTATTTTATTGTACGTTTCATTTCCACAAACTTTATCTCGAATTACGTGCGAATGAAGGAGCCGAGGTAGAAACAGTAGCAAAACAGTTTGTAGGGCTGAAGTTGCGGATTGAAAAAACAGCGACGTTTAACTTTTAACAACTTTAACAGCATTCGCAATGGACCATTAGTCTATTGCTCGGTCCCCTAGAGCCGTCACACTGCCTCTTGAGGTCGCTCACTTACACCTGCTTGCCCTGTCGCCAGGTGGCAGCAGTGAGCTGGCCGTGCCCGACGCCGACGAAGAGCGCGCGGGCAGTGACGTCGAAGAAATCGAGGCGAAGGCTCGGGAGCAGGAGCGCCTTCTGTCGGCCGACATAGATGGCACCACTAGCGAGACCAGGCCCACCGGTAGGTTACGGGGTGACGCGCCGGTATGGGGCCGGGTGACGGGTGCAGACGGCACATGACAGGCGCTGCAGTTACGCGCTGTTCCGTCCCTCCACCCTCCTGTTGTAACTTCTGTTGTGTAATGTGTCCCTTTGTACCTGGTCACTGGAGCTTTCATAATGCGCACATGGTGTTGCGTGCCTCAAACTGCGCGGGAAGACGCATGTGACTGGACCTCTTCCTGTATCGAGTCCGGCCCATTTGTACGATGCTGGTGTGGATATATATGCTCTTACATATCGTTGTGTTTTTCCCGTCTAGCCGTGTTATGGTTGTTTAATCAGTTGAGGGCAGAATATAAAGTCTCTATAAAGCTTTCAAAACTACTATCTGGAGAAACAAAACAAGAAAAGAACAACACAAATTCAAGAAACAATGCAAACCAACAGAAGTTAAACGAGGAAGCTCTTCTCTTAACTCACTTACACATCATCAAGTCATTCAATATACCAATGTCCAAAATACATCACTGACTCAGGGTTTAGACGTGATTGCCAAAAGTTTCAAACACAACGGCAAGCCGGCCGTTGTCTTCAGCACCAGATTGGGTTCAAGCACTGACTGGACTGCATCATTCGAACGCACCCAGGTTATTCGGTTTTTCCGTTGAGTGCACCACGCTGGCACCTGCTGAAAGACGGTGCTAGATTGCTGGCATGATTAAACGAGCACGAAACTACCTGCAGACCGAGCCTTTAGTCGTGCACGACCCCACTTTCCGCTGATTGTGCTGCAATTATAACCTGCCACATCACAGACACCTGTTGCTGGCAATGACGCGCTGCCGTATGGGCGTTTCCAGCGGAGAGCGGCGGCCGGCCGGGCCGCGCGCGGGGCTCGCTGATCCCACGCCCCTCTGACGACCGCTCGCCGTCCGGGAGTCTGCGCCGTACCCCGCTCGGGGGCCGCTCCCCTGCCGGCACCCTGGAGCGGCGGCCGGCCGCTGGCGGCTCCCCGGCCACGCTGGAGCGCCACGTCAGCGGGGGCTCCTCCGCGTCCATCACCATGGAAACCGAGGACCGCAAGCTGACCGGCATCCTGAAGAAGCCGCGCTCCGCTGACGTCACACCCACCAGCACGGTGACGTCACTGATCGATGACGTCACGGACGATGTGCTGCGGGCCATCAGCGACGACGACGCGGAGGAGGAGCCGCGATCGGCCACCGAGAGGCAGGAGGAAGAGGAGGGCGAGGAGGAGCTTGCTTTAGGTAGGTCGCGGCCGCGCACTGCTGGGCAGCTCCAGCTGGCAACAACACAAACCGGCCACCGGCAGATTAACGCACGACCCTCCTGACAGTCGGGTGCCGAGTTATCATTCAAACGCTAACGGTACCCGCATTAAATCCCATTCGATAAGCGGGTTTTTGCCGCCTGTTTGCTCGGTCGAGGTGCGTGAGGCACCGGCAGTCGTCTCGGTCGAGCGCGCGGTCCGACGCCGCCGCACTGCCGGCAGCGGCGGCGGCGGCTCGTTGTCATGCGGCGCGAGGCCGATGGGCCGTGACGTCGGTGGCCGGGTTGAGCCGCGCCGCTCGCCGCCGCCGCTGCGCCGCCGCCGCCGGCCGCCGCCGCCGCCGCCGCCGTATCCCCGGCCCGGCCGTCACGCCGCGGCGGCTCGGCCATTCAGGGCCGGCCGGCTGACGGCGGCCGCCGCCCGGCCTCAATGGAGGCGGGGTGACGGCGGTCCTCCGTCACCTGTCGCCCCGCCGGCCCTCCGGCCGGGCGTTGACGCGGGCTGGCCTCGATGGCAGGCCGTCACAGCTGTCCTGCCGGGTTCCGCGCTGGCCGCTCGCCCCGGCTCCTCGGCTCGCCTCGGCCGCAGCTGTGCTGTCCGGGGTTTCCTGACACGGTTTCACTCGACACCGCAGCAGCACAGCTCTGGCGGCGCGTCCTGCTCGTGTCGACGGCAGAATCGCTTTCACCCCGGCTCACCGCCGCTAAGTGGTCTTGTCGGATTATTGCTTCCCCTGGTAACGTCACGCTTCTCTGCTGTCCCTTTTCTCTCCCGCCCAGCTCCATTTTTATCCCATTCCTCACATGCCCTATTCCTTTCCTGTCCCTTTCCTCTCCTGTTCCGTTCCCTCCTGTTCTGCCCCTCTCCCGCTCGCTCCTCTTCTGTCCCTTTTTCTCCCCCTCTCTCCTCCTATCGCCCCCTCTGCCCTTCTGTCTCGCTCCACTCTTACCCGGCACGCATTTACTTTTATTTATTTATTACATAATGACCGGGCATTCCTCGCATGCCCTGTTCCTTTCCTGTCCCGTTGCTCGTCCGGTCCGCTCCACTGTTGTCGCGTGTCAATCAACCGGATAGTTCGTGCGCTGCTCATCCTGTTTGTAATGCAGGGGGGACGTACTGAGGGCAAGTGGGTTTTTGTGCGCCCGCACCACACCGGACCGTGGCGACTAAGTGGCCCCAATCTGACACCTGGGAGGAGGGGAGGGGGGAGGGGCGTTCAGCGAGGTCGGGCCAGGTCTGGATCGGTTCTCTGAACACCGTGAGACTTGGCTGCCCTCTAGCCGAGGGACTCTAGAATGGTCTGGCACGACGGAAATGTTTATGTGTTACGCTTGTGCTGCTCCGAAAGTCGAACCGAGACAGCGGAGCTTTTCCCTTTTCGTCGCGGCTGGTGAGAAAAGAAATCACCTTCTTAAATGAGCCGGTCGGTATTCGTGTCGTCACAGTCAGTCCACTGTCAGCGGCACGACATTGGTGCGATGCCGCGGCCGTCGTGTGCGAATTCAGCTGGAGCTTTCCTTTTGTCATTTTTGACGAAAAATCCGGTCGCACCGGTCTGCGTAACGAATTTGTGAGCCTTGTCACCACGGGTCGCACTCTGGGCTTGTGCTTCACATCAGATGCTCGTCTGGCCACCTCCAAGCATGTCTGATATCCCATTGTATCGCCTTTCAATGCGCCGAATTCAGCGCTCTCTCACAAGTATCCATTCCCTGGCTAAAAACACTCGCAAAAACGCCAGGATGAACCACTGAACGTCGTTCGCGCAGCAGGTGTCGATGACGTACGCTGCATGCAAATAAACACTGTCGCGGTGCGGACGATACCGCGAGCCGATAGCGGTACCCGGGGGCGGGACGTATGCCTATACGCTAGCCATTTAAACGCGGCTGCCGTGGCAGAGCCGGCCAGGTTCGGCCGAGGCGCGTGCGGGCATTACGGCCCGCCGGCTGCCGCGTCTCCTGGTTACCAGTCACGTCCACTCGTGCTCGTCAGGCGCGGCCGGCCGCCGGGTGCCGCCGGCTCTCAGGGCGGCCCCGGCGTGGCGGCGGTCCGGACGCCGGTCCAAAGGTCCGTAACGGTCCGCGCTGGGTGCGGAAGCACGGCCCGGCTCACCGCTTATCCGTCGGCCGGCCAACAGCTGGGCGACCCGGACGGGCGGCCCTATCGCGCGTCTGACGACATCGCCGTGTACACATGACGACTGGGAGCACGCCCGTACTGCGGACCAGCGGCCCAACAGGCTGTGCTCGGCGGCCGCGGCCTATTTCTGGTGGTAATTATGCGCAGGTGGCGGCGCGAGAGCCACCGCCGCCGTGGCTCTGCGGCGGCGACGGCGCACCCAGCCGCGCGTGGGTTTAGCGACCGGACATAGCTGGCAAATTGCCAGGCTGGTGCAAAGCACCGTAATCGCTGATTTGTGATGCTGCGGGTCGTTTAATTTAGCCTTTTATTTGCCTGATTAAGTAATAGCGACATCGGAAAACAGTAAAACTTGCTTACTCGTTGCCGCGTCAACATGACTTATGCTGGGCAAACATGTCAGAGATTGTTTTCTAACGACCAGTTTATGCACCTGGTTGCACCGGAACTTTTTTGTCATCCTCGTCACAAGTAATGGCTAAAGAGTGTCAGTCACCTGCCGGTGCCTCCACATGTCTATTGTGTAGCCGAGCTTGACGAAGCTAATAAGCAGACTGCACACGTTCGGACTTACTGACCTGGCCGTGATCTTTCACCTGCCGACTATCTTCGGCGTCCCGTGGCGCCGCCCTCATGACAACAGGTGCCGAGGTGGGTCGACACAGATGAGGCCACGGATAGCCGCGTCCATCCATACAAGTAGGACGACCGACCGGACGACCGCTCGTAAAAACCGCCGTCAGCTCGCCCGGCCATTTCATCTCCAACAAATACGGGCTCCGTTACTCACATCACTGCCGGCCCTTTGCGCGTCCTCGCATTCCGGCCAATTATGATTCCGCATTCTTCTACTGGCGCTCAACAACACAGCTGGCGCCGCTCGCTCGGCGGCCGTCCCCGCGCCGAGCGCGCTCGTCTCGGACGTGCGCGGCGAGCCCGGACGCCTCTGCGGAGCGGCAGCTGTTGGCTGCCAGCGGCCGCGAGCGGGCTCGGCGCCGCTCGGTCGGCCGCCGCTCCGAAGTGTGCCGCCTGGCTCGGTTCCCTATGCGCCGCCGCACGTCGCGCCGGGAGTTGCCATGTGTGCCGAGCAACGGCGGCCGGCCTCGGCGCTCGGACGGCGTGCGGTCGGCCTGGTCGCTGGCCGGACCGGTCTCCTGCAGACTCTGGCCGCTCAGCCCCGGTCTCTTGCAGTTTCTGGCCGCTCACCACCGGTCTCCGGCCGGAACGGTCTCCTGCAGTCTCTGGCCGCTCACTCCCAGTCTCCGGCCGGACCGGTCTCCTGCAGTCTCTGGCCGCTCATCCCCAGTCTCCGGCCGGACCGGTCTCCTGCAGTCTTTGGCTGCTCACCCCCGGTCTCCGGCTGGACCGGTCTCCGGCCGGCCTGGTCTCCTGCAGTCTCTGATCGCTCGCCCCCAGTCTCCTGCCGTTCTGCCGCCGAGCGAGCCTCGGCTAATTGGCCAGCCGTCCGTCAGAGAGCGCCGGCTTTTGACCCGGCTTTTGACGTGCCGCCGTGTGGTTACCTGTCGTTACCGGCCGACGGGAACCGTATAAACGTTATAAACTGTAACGTAACACCGCTGCCGGGACGGACGACGCTCGCAAGAGCAGCGAGGTGGAGAGAGCTCCTCTCTCTCTCTCTCTCTCTCTCTCTCTCTCTCTCTCTCTCTCTCTCTTTGTCCGCCACTTTGAGAAAAGGCAGAAGAGATCAGAGTGTGCTTAATTCTTTTACATCATAATCCGCATGTCTTGCCTACTGTCTGAGATCCGTGGCTTATTCGCTTGGCATGTCCTCGCTTTTGCAAGTCAGATCCCTCTTAATCCTTTTTCTTTTCAGTGTTTGAGTCGTGCTACATACCGATGCAAAATTTCACTCATTGAGGCACAAGGACGCAGCCGGCCACTTCGCACGCCCCGCTCATTCAGAATGCTGACCTCCCAGCCACTTGTTCCCCCGTCAGCTGCACTGAGTCCCATTACCATCCTGAGTACCGGGCAGCTCCGCGTTGTCTCTGCACGCCCCGCGACGGCCATTCAGAGTGCACAGTGGCTGCTCTGCGGGCCGCGGAACGACTCACCGCAGGCTTGGCCGCCCTCAGCGCGGCGTCTGCCTGCACACTGCGGCCTCTGTCGCTGGCACAGGGCTCGCCGCTCTGGTCCGTCCAGCTCCGGCGGTCTCGTCACGGCGCCGAGATCTCGTGTGTGTGTGCTGAATCCCCGGCACCGCGCCATCACCGTCCATCGACGCACTTGTTAGCCTCGACTGACGGCTCCGGTCCCACCGACTGGCTGCGATTGGTGGGCGACGCCGCTCTCTGTCGGGAGGACGACCGCTGCGGCTGGAGTCGGAGCTGGAGCCGGAGCTGGGGCTGGAGCTGGAGCTGGAGTTGGGGCGCAGTGTATAGGCTGCGACATCACGACTGTGGAGGGCTGCCTCGGTCGTTGTTACATCAGAACTTAGAGTGAGCTCGCTCACAGGTTGTCCAGTTCCTGGAACTGGACATACTTCACAGCTCCTGCGTACCCCGCACCCCCTGCTCTGCAGTCTCACACCGGACGTCGCGCCCGCTCTCACGGTCAGCGGTGCCGACACCCGGCGTGCAGCGGCACTGCGCCGCTGTTTCGCATGACTAATGAGCTGGTCGGGCGTCAGGCGACATTGGATGGCAAGGCTAGTCTGACGGCGAACGCAGCGACGTGGGAATTTGCTGAATTCGTAGGTAACGGTCAGGGCGAGGGAAGACATTTGCACAGATGGCCTCGCCAGGTTTCATTCAGAGTCCATGCGTGGGAATGACGGGCGTAGCTGTGGTGATGTTCGTTATGCAAATGCCGCGCGTTGAGGATGGCTTCGGTGGTGTGGTTGTGGAAACCGTGGCGCTTACACGGAGCAGCGGAACGTGTCTGCATTCCCGGTCAGCCATGCGCGCTCTCCCAACACTCCATCATTCACACCTGCTGCCTTCCTACCGCCTGTCCGATAGCGAAGCTTGTTTAAAGTTCACTAATGGATCCTCGGACAGGTGGCGTATCGATCGTTTGACCGCGGCGCTCTGGAATCCTGGCGACTCCCACCCATTGTTGAAGTACCGAACCATCCCTGGCGGCTGCATGTCCAGCCCCTGCCGGCCAGGTGTCCAAGCTTGTCCGCTGACCTGACGCGACTGGCGTCAAGCTTCGCTGGTGTCGACACCGGTCCCCACCCGAGTCGCCAACCTGTCCGACACGGCATCGTCAGTGGTCCGGCCTCTGAGCGTCAGACCGGACTTCAGGGGCCGCGTTCTGAGCGGCCTCTGAACGGTCTCTGAGCGGCCTCTGAACAGCCTCTGAGCGGCCTCTGATTCCCGGCCGCCGACAGGCCAAGCCGTCGTCCGTCTCTCCCTTGTTTGAGGAGGGCCGCCGACAGACCGCACCTGTGCGCCGGCCCAGGTCGGCCGCAGCTGCGCCGCGCGCGGCCGCCGACCGTGTCTGACTCACGGGCCGCTCCGCTGACCGCGCCGCCCCGCGCCACGCCACGCCGCCGCCTGCTGTTTTTACACGGACACCGACTCTCCGCGCCGCCCGGCCGCCTCGCGCTGGCGCGTGGAGCGCACTGCCCAGCCTGCTCCGCCTTGGTCAGGGAGGTAGCCCTGCCCGGCGAGAGTGGGTGGGCACGAAATCACAGGAAGATGAGATGTTTCAGACGGATTCATGGCGTCCCAGTGTAATGTGGTATGCTGTGTGTTACGGTGGGGTGCCTGCTTGCCGTTTTGTTTGCCCGGTTTTAAGGCTTACGACCGATTAGTTCTGCAAGATTATGATCCTGGTTGAGATTTTGAATCGTCCAGAGGGTGATCTAGTGACAAGAGCGCCAACGAGCAAGTCCTATCGTCATTGTTACTCAGACCATTAGCAGCAAGCTTGCTCCGAAAGATATGACCGGGCAGTGTTTGGTCTGAACAGCTCGGAGTCCCAGGCAGAATCAAAGGGGCTGGAAAATAATACTACGTTCTGCGCCAAATAAGCGGCAGTGACCGTGAGCTGACTTTCGTTTTGTCTCGCAAATCCACGAACAAAACAACTTAACTTTACGACTTGTACCATTCCAGATGACGGGCCCGCATTCCTTTAGGATCATCCTTCGTGCTCCGCAAGGAATTGTGCAACACGCATGCCGCTTGCATAGACACGCGAACGCCACCGTCCCAGTGCGTCTGCGCCTACTGCTGATGAACACGCTCCCTTAAAGAGGGGCTGCCAGTGACGCCGCCGGCGAACACGCTGCATTAAAGAGGGGCTGCCAGTGACGCCTCCGGCGAACACGTTGCCCCACAGAGGAATTGCCAGTGGGGCCGCCGGCGCTGTCGTGCGAGTGTCGGTCGGGACGCTGCCGTCGGTTGTATTCTCTTCCCCGACGATAGGCGTTACTGGACTCCAGTGGCCACACTGGCCGCCGAGATCTGTATCACGCGTCTGGAAAGTGGGGCTCACTCGAGACCGGTGGTCGGGACCAACGAGTGGCGCCCGAGTGCGGGCATTGTTCCATGAATGCTAGTACTGGAAGATCTTGCTTCCATTGAGCTTATCTGTGCGATCAGACAAAGTCAGAGCGGCATGAGACGTCACAATTTTTCCAAAACATTCTCGATTCAGTGAAGCTGCCGTTGTCGTAGGCGCGCCAGCGGCGGGTATGACCTCAGACTCCGCCGAACTGCTGCCGCCCTGTCGCCCGGCACGCGGATGCCTCGCCGTGACTCAGCCAGGCCGTGATCACCGTGCCCCACCGTCCGGCCGGGTCGTCCCTCACGTCCAGGCCCAGAGCGTCGCTGTCGCCGCCACCTTCCGGACGTCACGGTCCGCCGTCTGGCCGGATCGTCCCTCACGTCCGGGCCCAGAGCGTCGCTGTCGCCGCCACCGTCCGGACGTCACAGTCCGCCGTCCGGCCGGATCGTCCCTCACGTCCGGGCCCAGAGCGTCGCTGTTGCCTCCACCGTCCGGGCGTTACAGTCCGCCGTCCGGCCGGATCGTCCCTCACGTCCGGGTCCGGAGCGTCGCTGTCGCCGCCACCGTCCGGACGTCACG